GCTTAGATGGAGATTACAGATGGGTGGGCCCTGGGGAAGGTGGTGATGGGGCGAGAAGTGACCACAGGGCATGGAGGAAGCCTGAAGGACAAGAAAGACTGAAGAGGGGCGGAGTGCCAGAGCCAAGCTGGCATTGGGCAAGGGGCTGGAAGGACGGGGTAAGCCAGAGAGGGAGAGGAAACCAGAGAAAACTCCAGAGTGAATGTAAAGCCCAGGGAGAGAGCTATGGGGGAGGGGGAGAGAGAGAAATGCCCATCACGGGGGAGAGAGGGCGGCCGGGGGGCGGGGGCGGAGCGGCCAGTGGTGGATATTAAAGGACGGCCTTGCTGGATATCTGGCTCTGGGGATGGCTCTGTGCCCATTAGTCTCTCTAATTGTCAAAAATCTAATTTAGTGTCTGGAGCCTGGGCCAGCCTTGGGTTAAATGGAGGGAGGCAGGCCTAGCCATAAATCTGCCCTCCCAGCCTGGGCTGGTGCTAATTCCACAGTTAACTGAGGGGCAAGGAGGGGAGCAAGATGGGACAGGGAGGCTCTGGAGAGGGGGTGTCCCTGCATGCCAGCCCCCATTCCTCTGCTTGAGCCAGGCCATCCTCTCTTGGAGGAAGGGGACTTGCCTGGGGCTCATTTGGACCTTCCGGGAGAAGTGCCTCAAATGTGACATGAGCACAGGACCAGAGGGGTCTCTAAGGGTCAGGGTGGCTGGCATTGTAAAACCATCAGCCCTTCCTCCTCCTGGACCCACTCAGGGTCTACATGGGCTCTGCTTTTGCAAAGTGATTGGGGATTGTCCCTGACTGGTAGGAGAGTCACATTTCCTACATAAAATCATGAGCCTTTGGTGAGGAAGGGGGAATGAAGATTCACACTAAGTGACCAAGCGACGCATCATGTTCACTAGGTGACTGCTAGGGATGGCCGCAGTGATGGGGACCACATGACATTCACTCCAAATCTTGGGGAGTAAAGGGCCATTTCTTAGTGGGGAGAGAACAGTCCCCATTGGGTAGCTCAGCCTCTCCTTCCCCAGGCTGACTCACTAGGGACTCAGACAGCTCCTGAGGCCTCATGTGGCCTGAGGTGGTGGGGGCTCTCCAGTCTGGGCTTGGTAATGACCTCACTCCCCTCAGAGCAGCTAATTGAAAGCAAGGGGTGTGGTAGGCGCAGCAGGAGAAGTTAGGGGACTGAGAGGGTTCCCTGAGAGGCTCTGCTTCCACAGGGGAGGAAAACAATTTCTCCTGGCTTCAGCTCCATCTCACCAGGCACCCACCCGGCCTCTCCTGCTGCTAACGAAGTGCCTTTAATTAGCAGCCTAATAAAATGCTCTTAATTGGCAAGAGCCAATAGGGAAGAGAGGTCTCCTCCCCTCAGTCATTGTGGATGGTGGCACAGTCATAAGTTTGAAGAGGAGAGGGATCTCAGGCCTGGCTTGGTATTAGGAAACAGTGGCTATGGGGGTGAGTCTATGGCATGCCCTAGACCTCACCCTCTTGGGGGGAAAGACCTGACACAGGTTCAAAGGTGTGGCCCATAAACCCTTGGGCTCAGCCTCTGCTCCATTCTGTGCTTAGGAGCCCAGCTGTTAAGGGACATAACTGAGAAGATGCTAGTGTGGTCCAGAGTGGTCTCTGCTGACTCCTTGCCTTCTCTGCCTAGGTGCTGCCTGTCCTTAGTTGTTAGGGAGGAGACTCCAGTGTGGTCTTAGGCAATGTGGGTCCCTTCCCTCGTTCCTATTTCTCCATCTGCAAAAGGCTGGGTGTTTCTGATGCTCTGACCCTCTCCCAGCTCTAGCAGGGATAGTTCTGCATGGGGGCCCTGATGTTGACCGTAGTCTGAGACTGCTCTGATGACCACAGTGGTCAGTCCAGACAAGACAGGCAGAGACCACAGGCTGCTGGAAGCCAGAGAGTCTGGTCAAGCAGGGAGCATTATTAGTACTAAAAGCCCTTAAATGAGGATGGGTCAATTTTGACAAGAGTCTTGCTTGTGACAGTGGAGAGGAGAGGTAAAGAGGGTGAAGGGGAGAAGAGAGTCCCTTTCTGCTACTGGCGCAACTTGTACCTATCTCCCTGGGTTCGTTTTAAGGAGGTAAGGGGGACTCACTTGGGGGCAGCAATATTCTCCCCCAGATGGTCAATGCTGCCTTCATTCTTATAGCTTGTTGGACTCTCTCTGGAAATTACTCCTGGATGCAAGCTCACTTGCTTATAAACTGACCAAATAGGATCCAGGGAAACCTAAGTCTTCTCACCACTGAGGAGGCAGAAAAACATTTAGTTTCTGGGCTTAGGCTGGGTTGTGACTGGCTATTGTAACCAATTTGCAAATTAGACATCACTTTGGTTTCAATTAAATTCAACTATTTGTGTGCCAGGGACCGCGTATTTATTCACATCATCCAGTCCTGATAGCTTTCAATCTTGTTCTCATGTCAGATTGTCTTCAAAGGTATTAAATCTACTGTGCACTCCCTCAATTTGTATACTGAAAAACTTATTGTCCTTATGATGTTGCAGGCAAAAAGACAAGACACTTATAAAATTCACTTTAATCTTATATTTGTAATTTAGGTTACTTTTCTTCTGAACAGTTAAAAAAAAAAATAAAACCACTCTATTTCCAAGATCCTAGGTTGTGAACATATTGGTACACTGACTACACATCACCATAACAGAATCACAAAGGTCAAAGCAGTCAGTACTTAAGAGTCTAGAGAACAAAAGAGCTGAACCAACCAAAAGCTCTCAGGGAAGCTCACATTTGTTGCCAGGCCTGTCCCTATAGTTCAAGTTCACTGAACATGTCTCTGATCAGGCTGGGTTGGGCTTGAGTGATCACTGCTTTAGGAAGGTGTTAGTTTCCTTGGTACCCAGAGGTCTAATATCCTAGTTGGTCTTTTCCTTCAGTGTCCAAGAAGAGGAAGGGTTAGGAGGAGAGGTAGCACTTTAAAATACTATTTACTGCACTGATCCTTAATAAAACACACACACACACACACACACACACACACACACACACACACACACACACACAAAAAATCAGGAATTAAGAGAGCCAGCTGGGTTGCTGGAAAGCACACATTTCAGATGTCATCTGCCTCCAGAAAATGTTAGATCAGAGTTACTCAACTTCCAGCAGAAAGGGTTTCTAGATATCACTGCAGTAAGTTCCACCTGAAATCAGGCAACCATAATCATGCTCTTTTGGTTTGTCTCCTCAGTTCCAAGGATTCTGATGTCACAAACTATTGGTAAAGATTAACAAGAAGCAAAACTCAGTTTTATTTCCCTAAGAGATGGCTGTCTTTCCAGCACTGATTATGTTGAGACAGTGGTTAAAGTAAGGGGCTCTGGTCTGTCAGCAATGAGCTGTGGGGATGAAGCCCAGGGAGATGAACTCAGCCTAGTCTTAGGGTACACACACAAGTCTGTTGAACTCATCCAAATGGGGAAGGAAATCAGAAATGTGGATTAAAGTGATACGGTAAATCAGATCATCAAAGAATGTGATGGTCACAGGGGTTGGATAGCTAAGCATCCCATTTTCCACCTATAAGTAGCTTGGATTATTCTGGAATCAAGCCTGCAGCCTAGCCCTCAGGCCTGCACTATTCTGGGTCAGACTGCCCCCACCTCAGGCTGGAAGGTATTGACATCGAAGGCAAAAGGAAGGTTGTAAGAAGATCAACAATACCATCATTTCTAATCCAATTCTAGGAAAGAAAAAATAGCCCTAATTATTTCCAATATTCCCCACCACACCCTACCTCTAGTCCTTTGTTTCTGCGCACAACCAAGTGCTAAATAAGGAGCAGACCAACCAGGGCCGTTCAGATTAACGGTACCAGGAGCTGGCAAGGGAAGAGTGCATATTTTCTTCTCTGCAGCTTTAGATTGTACAAAAGAAAAATAAAAAAGGATTTTTCTTACTCAAGCAAAAACCAGAATGATTTAGGGGTCTCAGGGTCTTTTCCAGTTTGGAAACAACTTATGAAGGCCAGACATTATTACTTGTCAATAGAGTTCCAAAGAGCATCCCTGTCTCTGAAGTTAGTAGACACCAGAAAGAATTTTGCCAAGGGACAAGTATAAAATGCCTCCCATCCATAATTCACATCCACTTCCAAATTGCACGTAAGAAAGCAGAAGGATGTTCTCAGCAGTGAAACACACACACGTGAAGCAAGGCATGCTGGTCTTGTCCAAGTAGCCCAGTGTGAATCGAGAAGTCACGAGTTCATAACAGGTACAGGTGCATGCACACATTCCTCACCTGCCTTCAGAGGGGATTCAGCCCATCTTTAAGAAAGGTTTCTTTCAGAACCAACATTGCAAAGTGAATTTCAGTGAGAAGAGACTAATCTACAATGGGGACATTTCACTTCACAGCCAAGGGAACATCTTCAGCTCCTTTTCTACCATTCCTTTAAATGTGTTGAGACTTTCTTTGTTTCTCTTTTCTTTTTAAAAAGGTCAAACTTTACATTTATTCTAGCCCAGTTGGGGATTAGTGATAATCAATTCCCACTGAAATCATGCAGAGATGGTAAGTGGGGTTTACCTTCTCTGGAAATGAACTTCTACTTACCTGATTATTTCTTCTACAATGAATTGGTAAATGACCCTCAGAGCTGAGAAATGTGAACGATTCAAGTTTTTCAGACCACTTCACTTCATTCCCATTTCCATCAGCAGCAGAGAGGACAACTTAGACAATATTCTCAACTGAGCTAATCGTTCCACATCTGCAGGGTCCACCCTTGATCTCATTTATGATGTACTGGACAAGTGTCAAAACAGTCTTAGAAACAATACACCTTCAACTGAACCTAGAAGGGAGAGCAAAACCCTGGGCATCCATGAATATTCAACAGCTCCCACTTTCGAATAGCAGCATATAACAGAAGGGCTGGTAAGGTTATGGCTATTGGACAATACTTTGAATGAGCTCGAAACCCATGCCTCTTTAATGTCTGACCTGTTTTTTTTTTTAGGGTGCTCACAGGCCCTGATGAAGAAATCAGAGATATGAACCATGATGCAGAATGTACTGAGCAATTGGCTCTGGCCATTTCAAACCTTTCTGTAGGCTGAGCCTTACCAGTGATTTAAGATAAAGTACGATGCTTTTAATTACACACCTAATTGTAAATGAGAGGAAATGCAATCAGCAACTCCTTTCCACACTCTACATGGAATCGAGGTGACTGCTGAGTCCAGAAAAGATGCAGCCATTGAAGGAGCCCAGGAAATTTCTGTCACCCCCATGGGTGGGGGGAAGAAGTAGAAGAGAGAAGAGTTGCAAATATGATGAGAGCATCATGTCCCAAGAATCCATTGTTGCCACAGGGTCACTTGCAGCAAAAGCCTGGGTTTGAAATTTTGGCTGAACAGCATTTAACTCTTCCAAGTGTTGCATTTTCTAGCTGATCTGACTCATGCTAACTGAGGACACTCTCTTCATATACTTTCTTCTTAGGCAGAGCAGAGAAACAGGGTAAAGGGAGGAAGGGGGTGGGAGGAAAGAGGAGGTGGGAGGCCTAGATAGTCCAGTGCGCATTCTTATTCTCTTTTTCTTGCCCTGGAGGCTATATGGGAGGGCTCTGTCTCCTCCTAAGCAGAGTGGGGCTGGTTGCTCTGGCCAGGTGCTGGGCATCCTTACAGTTAACAGGGGACACTGGGCACTGTCTGACTTGAAGCTGCATCCCCATCTCCTAGAAGTGGGTCTCTGCCAGTAGGCTATACAGGGAAACTAGATCTTCTGTTTAATGGCACAGAAAGAGAGATTCTGGCAAAATACTAAATATATTTATAAGTCATCTTTGTCTGGAATCAAATGGGGAAAAAATAGGTGCAGAGGGGAAAGGAGGAGGGAAGGAAAGAGGAGGGGAGGCTTAAAAGTTCCAATCATTCACGGAAGATAGAACACATCTTCTGATAGCAGCACTGCAGCAGTCAGCTGTGTGAACAGACTGTCCTGGTCGACTGCAGACCAACTGTGTCCCAGTGGGAGTCTCAAAGCCCTGCTCCTTGGCTAGTCTGGGGAAATCAGGTAGTAGTCTGACTGTTACTGTTGTTGCTCATCCTGGTACTGGCAGACACGTTAAATACCGCAACTTTAATGAGTCCTGTGTGAAAACAGAGGAAATAGTCATTAGCCCTTTTCCCTGTATTTCTCACTTGCTCTGAGAGGAAAAGAACATTCACTTAGCTGTCAATTGGGAGAAAGGCTGGGGTCCTTCCTAAAGCATGTGCTCTGTCCATGCCAGGCAGGAGCTTCTGTCAAAGGCTACATGGCCTGACTGAGGACTTGTGCAAAAGCAAGGGTTTGCTGACATTCTCAGGGCGTGGTGCTCAAGCAGAGTGACTCTGATGTCTTGCGGCTAAGAGTGACCAAGGAGGGTGTAGTGTCAAGCTTTTACCTGCTCCCTAGAATGGCAGAGCAGGGAGGGCATGGCTCTGCCCTCGAGTGGCCACGAACACAGTGGTGTCCTTGACAGAAGAGGAGGAGTCAGGGGAAGCTGGTCTGGCTGTTTCACTGGAGGGCACTAATGGTGTAGAAGTGAGCACTAGAAGGGCTCCTGGCACATTCAAGGACAGATGGGTAGGTGATAGCTAGAAATGTGGCCTGGAGATTAAGGCAGAGGTTGGGACTAGAGATATAAATTTGACAGTCATCTACATTGACATGAGAGCTGAAGCCTTGGGAAGAAATAAGGCAGCCAAAGAAAGGAGCTTAGATAATAATAATAAAAAAAAGCCAGAGATAGACTCTTAGGGGATGTTTATGTTTTAGGGGTAAGCCGTGGAAGGAGACATAAACAATCAGAGGGCCAGGAAGAATATTAAAAATGGCAAAATGCCACAGAAGTCTAAGGAAGAGAAAATTTTGGCAAAGGAGGGGATAGGTACATGACAATTAGGATATTAATAATAACGACCACTTCTTACTGAGGCTTGTCAAAGTGCTTACACTGCACTAAGCACTAAGTATTTTGCATGTAGTATCTCCACGCAGGCCTCACAAGAGCTCTGAGAGGCGGCAGCTGCAACCTTCATTCCACTCATCAGCAAACTAAGGCTCTGAGAAGTTCCTTGCCCAAGGGTACACAGCCTGTGTGACTTGGCCAAGGAACGAGGGAGCACCATGTCCTTTGTGAGAGTAGGGGACACTGAGGCAAGCCCAGCCAGGCGTGAACCACCCCCTCAGAAGGAACACTGCAAAAACTGTAGTGGATGTGTGCTTTTGCTACAAGAACTGAGGCAAGTGTGTGAATGAGGAGTCATGATGATAGCAGTGCTCCCCAGTAGCTAGTGCAGTTTTCCCAAACTCAAGATAACCTATTATTTTGAACTGGTTAGGACACCAGGTATAATATGAATATACCATAATATAGACAACCTGGGTATCTTAGGGTCTTTCTCTGCCTCAGAGAGAAGTTGGAAACTTAGGTGGGAGGATACATAGAGTTCTTAGAATCTCCGTGGCTACTTCTGAGGTTAAAAGACAGGTCTTCACTTTTTTGGAAGGAGTGGGGATAAAGATAAAAAGCTACCTTTTATAACTGAATGACACTAACAAGGCAGAGCTGTGAGATGTTACCATAAAATTTCACCAAGAGATGTTTCCATTCACACATTAGATCATCTACTTGGCTTAAAGGGTCTCTATTGTAAGTATTGTTTGATATAGAAACTGCAGTAGCACAGGCTTTTCGTTCATCACTTAGTTTTCGAACTTATTCAAATATTTCATTTTCATAACAATCCTACTAGATAACTAAGGCAGGAATGATTACTTATATTACACAAGTAGGACCCCAGAATCATCTAGAACGTAGGCTGGCTAACTTGGTAAAAGGCACTGTCCACTGGGGCAGCCTCAGCCTTTTCTCACATTGTCTGCTTCCCCTGCTTTACAGGACATGGTGAGACAAAAGGCATGAGCAGGCTCTATGAACTAGCAACACCTTACAGCCAATGTTCCACCTCCTACCCACAGTGCTATATATATAATTCTGTTTCATACCTGGGCAAGCACGAGGTCAGTGTATGGTTATTTATCTGGAGATGTAGGTGTATGTTCGAGAAGGGGAGCGGGGGGGTTCAGCTTGGGCAGCTGGATCATTTAGGAAGTCCCAGATGAGGATTGTGTCATCATGAGAACTACTGACAATCTGGAATTCATCAAACTGAAGTCGGAATACTCTTCCAGAATGCTCCTAAAGATGCAAAAACAAAAAAGATAAGAATGTGAGCTACTCAAAATCAAAAGGACACAAATTCAGCAACATGTCAAAGGGAGTTTGTGGAAAGGCTACAGTGTGCTGACAATTTCTCTCTATCATTTAGTTCAAAATTACTGAGAGAAAAACTTAATTTGGCTAAAGACAGGATGGAAAAGTCAAATACTAGGCAGCTGATTTCATGAGCAAAGGAAACAAACTAACATTCTTTAGCCAAGATATGCTAAACAGCATGCTAGTTTCTCATTGCCAACTCTCCCTGGCTTTAAGCTAGATGACAGCATTCCTCAGTACCTCCCTGGCATTATCTTCTCTCTGTGTCTCTAAGTTCCTTCTAGAATCAGGCGAAGGGTTGGTGAGCAATAAGTGATGTGTTGGAAAATGTTTATCAATCAAACTTCCCCAATTTGTAAAACCATTTGTAGATTTTCATCGTGTAACAACTTCTACCATGGCCAATTTCAGGCTGCCCATATACAACCAACCAGCCTGCAAATCTGATGAAAACCTAACATTTGGCTCTCACAATTGGGTATAAGCCTGTTCTACCACCGGCAGTAACCACCTCCCTGATCAAGATGTAGAATATTTACAGCATTCCAGAAAGTACTCTAGGGGGTGTAGCTCAGGGGTAGAGCATTTGACTGCAGAAAGTACTCTCATGCCTCTTATGAATCAATATTACCTTCACTACAGTGCTATCATTATTAATTCGTTTCCCCTGTTATTGTTATTATCATTTTTTTTTTTTTTGGCAGTTGGTTGGTATAGGGATCTGAACCCTGTTCTTGACTTTCATATACATACACTCATATGGTATGTATTCTTTTATACCTGGCTTCTCTTACTCAATATTATCAGATTTCTGTTACTGCATAAAACAACAGTTCACTCTTCATTATTACTGGTTAATATGATTCCACTGTATGAACGTACTACAATTTATCTATTTGCCTGTTGGTAGACATATGGGCTGATCATAGTTTTTGGCTCTTATAAAATAAAACCGTCTTTTGATGGGTATCTGTACTCATTTCACCTAGGAGTAGAACTGCTGGGCCATGGAGTAGGTGTATGTTTAGCTTTAGTAGAAAGTATGAAACAGCTTTTTAAAAGTTGGGCCAATTTATATTCCTACGATCAATGTATCAGAGTTCTAGTTGCTCCACATCTCCACCAAAATTGATATTGCCAATCTTTTAAATTTTAGCTATTTTGGTAGGTTTGTGGTGGTATTTTATTATAGTTTTAATTTGTATTATTCTTTATGAAGTTGAGGAAGCTCCCCTCTATTCCTAGTTTGTGGAGAGTTTTTATCATGAATGGGTGTTGGATTTTGTCAAATACTATTACTGATAGAATCATGTGATTTTTCTGCTTTAACCTGTTAATACGATGGATTACATTAATTGATTTTTGAATGCTGAACCAGCCTTACATACCTGAAATAAATCTCACTTGGTCACAGTGTACAATTCTTTTTCATACACTGTTGGATTTGATTTGCAAATACTTTGTAAAGGATTTTTTTTTTTTAATTTAAGAGTTACTTTATCTTACTGGCATATTACTACCTTTTAAATAATTTCAGAAATCATGAAATCACTAAACATAAGGGCAGTAACATGACCATATTTAAATCTGAATCAAATAGTTTAAAAATATTTTTTTTAAAAAACCATTTGTTAATAAGGTCTTATTTGTCATGCAACTGTATGTTTGCCTATTACATTAGTAATTTTGTAATATTAGTAATATTTTTTATTTTTAATAGTAGTAAAAAACATAAAACATAAAATTTACCATCTTATCCATCTTTAAGTATACAGTTAAGTAGTATATTCACACTGTTATACAATGGATCTCCAGAACAAATTTCTATCTTGTAAAACTGAAACTCTACACCCATTAAACAACTTTGCATTTCCTCCCATCCCCAGCCCTTAGCAATCACCATTCTACTTCCTGTTTCTATGAATTTAACTACTTTAAATTCCTTATAGAAGAGGAATCATAAAGTACTTATCTTTTTGTGACTGGCTTATTTCACTTAGCATAATGCCCTCATGGATCATCCATGTTGCAACTATGTGACAGCATATCCTTCCTTTTTAAGGCTGAATAATATTCCATTGGATTCATATGTAATACCACATTTTAAAAATCCATTCATCCATTGATAGATACTTGGGTTGCTTCTACCTCTTGTGAATAATGCTGCTATGAACATGGTGTGCAAAATCTCTTTAAAATCCTTCTTTCAATTCTTTTTAGGTATCTACCCAGAAGTAGGTTGCTGAATTACATGGTAATTCTATCTTTAACTTTTTGAGGAACAGCCATACTGCTTTCCACATAGGCTGTAACATCATGAGAAATATTGGTCTATAGTTTTCTTTTCTTGTAATGTCTTTGTCTGGTTTTGGTATTAGGGTAATGCTGGCTTCATAGAATGAATTACAAAGTATTCACTCTGCTTTTATTTTATAAAAGAGATTGCAGAAAATTGGTATAATTTCTTCCTTAAATGTTTGGTAGAATTCACCAGTGAATGCAGGTGGGCCTGGTGTTCTCTGACTTGGAAGGTTATTAATTACTGATTCAACTTTAATAGATGTAGGCTTATTAGATATATATTAATAGATATATTCAGATTGTCTTCTTGTGTGAATCATGGCAGATTGTATCTTTCAAGGAGTTGGTTCATTTCATCTAGGTGATCAAATTTGTGGGAAGAGTTGTTCAAAAGTATCCCATTATTATATTTTTAATGTCGATGGAATCTGTGCTGATATTCCCTCAATCTTTTTTTTTTGTTGTTGTTGGTAGTTAGCCAATATGAGATCTGAACCTTTGACCTTGGTGTTATAACACCAGTGCTCTAACCAACTGAGCTAACAAGCCAGCCCCCTTCTTTCATTTGATTAGCAATTTGTGTCTTCTCTTTTTTCCTTAGTGGGGCTAGAGGCTTATTGATTTTATTGATTCTTTCAAAAAACCAGCTTTTGGTGTTGTCAATTTTCTCTATTGATTTCCTACTATCAATTTTGTTAATTTGTATTCTAATTTTTATTGTTTCTTTCTTTGTGCTTACTTTGGATTTAATTTGTTCTTCTTTTAGTAATTCTCCAAGTGGAAGTTTAGGTTATTGATTTTAGATCTTTCTTCTCTTCTATACAGTCATGCACTACATAACAAAGTTTTGGTCAATGACTGACTGCATATACAATGATGGTCCCATAAGATTATAATGGCTATACCATATAGCATGGGTGTATAGTAGGCTATATTATTTAGGTTTGCATAAGCAGACTCTATGATGTTTGCACCAAAATAAAATTGCCTAAAGACACATTTTTTAGAATGTATCCCATTAAGTGCTGCCTGATTGACTGTACAAGGGTACTTCAAAAAGTCATGGAAGGATTCATATTATCTTTTAATTCAATTTTTCCACAAATTTTTGGAGTACTGTCATATATGGATTCAATGCTATAAATTTCCCTCTAAGCACTGCTTTCACTGCACTCCACAGATTTTGATAAGTTGTATTTTCATTTTCATTTAGTTCAAAACACTTCTCAAATTTTCTTGAGATTTCTTCTTTGCCCATGTGTTATTTATAAGTTTGTTGTTTAATCTCCACTTATTTTGGCTATCTTTCTCTTATTGATTTTTAGTTTAATTCCATTGTGGTTTGACAGCATACACTATATGATTTTTATTCTTTTAAATGTGTTAAGGTGTGTTTTATGGCCCAAACTGTGGTCTATCTTGGTGAATGTTTCATGGGAGCTTGGGAAGAATGTATATTCTGCTGTTGTTGGATAAAGCATTCTATAGTTGTCTATTGTATCCAGTTGATTGATGGTGCTGTTGAGTTCAACTAAGTTCTTACTAAATTTGCTGCCTATTATATCTCTGTCCTGATAGAGGGGTGTTGAAGTCACCGACTATAATAGTGGATTCATCTATTTTCCTTGCAGTTCTATCAGTTTTTTGCCTCATGTATTTTGATGCTCTGTTCTTAGGTGCATACACATTAAGGATTGTTATGTCTTCTTGGAGAATTGGCCCTTTTATCATTATGCAACAACCCTTATTATCCCTGATAATATTTGTTGTTCTGAAGTTTGTTCTGCTTAAGTTAATATAGCCACTCCAGTTTTCTTCCAAATAGGGTTAATATGGTGTCCTGGTTTGCTAGGACTGCCATAACGAAGTACCGCATACTCGGTGGTGTAAACAAAATAAATTTATTTCTTCACAGTCTGGAGGCCAGAAGTCTAAGATCAAGATGTAGGCAGGGTTGGTTCCATTCTGAGGCTTCTCTCCATAGCTTGTAGATGGATGTCTTCTCCCTTTATTTCACATGGTCTTCCCTCTGTGTGTGTCCTAATCTCCTCTTCTTATAAGGACACAAGCAATAATGGATTAGGGCCTGTCTCAATGACTTCATTTAACCCTAATTACCTCCTTAAAGACCCTTTCTTCAAATACAACCACATTCTGAGGTATTGGGGGTTAAGATTTCAATATACAAATTCTAGGGAGACACAATTTGGCCCATAACACATGGTTATCTTTCTTCACCCCTTTACTTTTAATCTACATGTGTCCTTATATATAGTGTGGCTTTTGTAGACAATATATAGCTCTTACTCTTTGATCTACTCTGGCAATCTCTGTCTTTTAATCTGAAATAGGAAAAATACAAAGAACACCACAACAAGATACACATCAAAGCCAAATTGCTGAAAACCACTGATAAAGAAAAAAAATCTTAAAAGCAGTCAGAGGAAAAAGATACATTACGTACAGAGGAATGAAGATAAATGACTTCCAACTTCTCATCAGAAACCAAGCCAGAAGAAAAAAAATGACATCATTAAAGTGCTGAAAGATGCTGTCAACCTAGAATTCCTTAGCCAGCAAAAATATCTTTCAAAAATGAAGGAAAAATAAAGACTTTTTTC